AACGCCAGCTGCAGCGCGCGCGGGCCTTTATTCGCTCACAATGGGCGAAAAGTGTCCTCTTATCAAACGTGTCAACAGCACGTTCCGAACGCGAAATCCCACCGCGCGTGCCGGCATCGTCGACTGCTCGCGCGAATTCCGCGCAACTTTGTCGTTGTGATGCGTGGTCGTACAAATAACGTATCGTTGAAGGTATTGGCGAAAAGACGGCAGTGTAATACGGATTGTCGGTTATAGCACGTAGAGAGTTACACGCATCAATGCGATATCTCATCTCGGTATAGTTCTAGAGTGAAAGACCGTACTATCGACAGTGTCTGTGACATTACTGTCCTCATTATTGTCTATTAAACTTTAAATGCTTTTTCAAAATATAAAAACCATATTATATGATATTTTATTAAATTTCAATAGAATTCTTAACAAGTCCAATTACTATTATAACGATTAATTGAAGATAATCATTCACTAGAGGAAAAAATTTATATACAATTTAAGGCTTTATTTTTCTTTCGGAAATTTATTTTTATTTATTTTTATATTAATAGAGTAAATAGAAAGAAGCTATACTTAAAAGGATGACTGATTATAAGTAATATCTATAACAGTCTTACTGAAAAATACGTTTTTCTAATAAAACATATATTAAAATAAAGCAAAAAATTATTGAATAAAATATTAATTTTATAAAATAATTATTAATACCAATAATACGTTTATCTTTTTGTGCTTTTTCTTTTAGTATTACGGACATTAATCACAAAATGAACGTAACAGTAATATCTTGGTAAATAACTTTTTTTCCGTATCTCTTACCTGTCACAACTGTTATCTTAGGATTTTAAGGTTTCTAATATTCTTGAAACCTTTTAAAAACTTTTTTCAGTTTTTCAAGCAGCTACTTTAACAATCAATACCTAAGAGAATATCTCGTTAAACCTTTTATCTTGCAATCTCTACGTTCTTTTATGTCTTAAAGGAGGGGAAAAAAGGATTTGTGAACCTCTTCCTGAAATACTCTCGACAGAGCAGTAAAAGAACTTCTATCTAAATGGCTCTCCGTCTCGCAGTTCCCTACTCCATCTGTTTTCATTTTTTCTAATAATTTTAGATTTTTTTTCTATTACATATAGCAGTAATATAATATTACATAGAAATATTACATTACTGTTTTTGTTAAGAGGGTTGTGTTGTTACCTATTATTATTTTAACAAAATTCTGCCTTTTTAAATAAAATCCTTATCGAGTTTCGCAGTTCTCATTAGTAATTTGTAGCAAACAACACTTCAATTCAATACGCTGTTGTTACATTGCTTGCCAAGTGTTTCGTCGCCTAAACTTAATCGAAAGGGCATATATACATATATATTTTCTCTCTCTTTCCCTCGCTCTCTCTCTCTCTCTCTCTCTCTCCCTTTCTCTGGCTTTCTTTCCAATACATCTCGCATTATGCCACATATGTCACATATTGCGATTTTGTTTTTGTCGACGCTGAGAACCGCGAGTGCGGATACTATTTTGATACATACAGAGGTTAATGTATATAATTTTAATTATTCTATAATTAATTGCTTCAAATATACACAATTTAATATACAAATTTATTGTATCTATAACACTTGTTTACAGTGCTAATATAATAAAAAAATAATAAGGATAATTTCAATAATTCATGCAATAAAATCATTTTTGCTTTTCTCTAAAAATTAAATTTAAAAGGAACATAAACTTAAATTAATATAATAAACTTATATATTAATTTTTCATATAAAATTGCGAGTAACGTATTTGCATTTGATTGCCAGAATTAGAAACAACAATTTAAAGATAATCAACATTAGGTGCCATACATTTGCCTACTTTGATTTTTTAAGTATGTATCTTTTTTTATACACCGCCTAAATTCCATTCCATATAATTCTATTATATTTTCTTTACACATATAAAATGCTAAATTTTAAATCATCAAACATTATTTTTAAGTCTAACACCTCTAAAAGATTTAAAAAAAAGTTTGAAATTCATTCTTCTTCATTTAATGAGGACATTCTTTAAGGAAGACAGAGTAGGCAAATTTTTTGAAGAGCAATGCGTGTGTGTGTGTGTGTGTGTGTGTGTGTGTGTGTGTGTGTGTGTGCGCGTATTTATATAAAATCAAAAATATAATTGAATATGTCAGTAACAGGGTTTTTCATTCTATACAAGATACGCGTATCGCACACATTTTACGCAAACAGCTTGCGCAAACAGTTGCTGATTTTTTTCTCGTGAGTCATAGAAAAAGAGTTTAGGGGTACTGCAGAAAAGTGTTTTCCTGTCAGAATAGTAAATTTTCAACTAGGTACTGCAACCGCGCCTTTCTCGCGGGAAATAACGGGATTGACGAACAAAATGCGGTACGCATGTTGCCGCGGCTCAATGCAAGCCGAAAACAATTGGTAGCTGTAATGAGATTGGCTACGGCTATACCACTCCGGTCGCCTCGCGCATCAACTGCGCACAAATGCCGCGGCCGATTCTGGGGTGGAGGTGCTCTGCGTGGAGAAACGTCACCACTGACGAAACACTATTAGCCTGATTGGAAGTACCAAGGTGAAAACATTTGCTGACGCGCGCGATGATCAAACAAGCTCCCTCATTAATGACGTGTTACGGTCGCGGCACCAGCCGCGTTAAATGCGGGCGGAATAACCCGAAGCTGCACAGGAATCGAATCTCATTCTACAATTAGACGCGCCCGATAAAAGTACGCGGCGCCGATGAATATTTATAAAGCCGATCATCTCGTAAATACGATTCCGAGTGCCCCCGCGTGACCGAACGCGCTCACTGTGACGATTAATTTGCCAAATGTACTCTGTTGTATTTTTCATTTACGGGAATATCGATATAGGGGATTGGATTATCACATAACGTATCAAATAAATTATTATAAATAAATTACACACGTGTAATAATTATTATCTATTATATATATTATACATGTATTATTATATAAAATAACAAACTCGATACCATGTGTATCAAATGCTTTGTTTCTCATAAACAAAAGAAATCGATTGAAACTCTGTGTTGTCCAAACGATATTGGGATTCTTTATTTGATTTCTTTAAAAGATGATAATGCGCGTTTCTAAGTATTTTCGATGTTTCCTTGTAAGAAATGTGAAACGAATTCAAGATATATTATTTATTTTGCTCGATTCATTTAAATCGAACGAATTTGTTTGCAGGTGTGACCATGTCCCTCTACTTAATATAATAAAATGTATGTTTCCTTTTTTTTTTTCGATTAGGACAAATGTTAAAAGTATTTCCTTTATTTTATAGCGATATATACTTAGGATATTTCAAGATAACAATGCATGTTTTTCTGGAAAGGAAAATCAAAATCTCTTTCCGATATGAATAATGAATCATGCGATGACTCGCTAGTCCTAAAATTTTTCATATCTCTAATTTTTGGGTATAAATAAAAGGATCCTCCGACTGCAGCGGCAGTTTGTCGAGTCGATCATAAGTATACACGTCTTGTAACACACGAGTAAGAAATTATTGTAAGATTTCCTTGAATAAAATTGTTTTTTATAAATTGACAATTTTCACGAATCTTACACAGGAATAACTGGCCAAAGTAGAGCGCTGGAAATTGAAGATGCGATAAGAGGGGCGCGCGCACTCGCGCTCTTCTCATCGTATCGAGGACGATAATCAAATTCTCGAAAAGTGCGATCTTCTTATCGTGATTCTGTCACGAAAAAAATATATCTAAAAACTTTCAGAAGTTAGAAAGGAAAAGAAAAGGAAGCTGAGGAAATGATACGCGGAGGATGGTACGTATATGGAGAATGGACTTTGTAAACTACGTAAAATGGCGCAACGGACGACTTCGACGGGACATAACACGCGTTACGGAAATCGATACTCCCAACGAGGAAAATCTTACTCGTGTGTGCTAGCGCGTGTGTATCTGTGTGTATGTGTGTGTGTGTGTGTTTACACGTGCATGTGTGCATGTATATTGCACGCCCTATAAAAAATTCGACGAAACTTCGATCCGGCATACGGGCGTGATAAAATTTTCTTTAACGCGACGCCGCTTTCGTAACGAGACGTTTCTTCTCGAGAGATGGAAATACCTCGCTTGTTTAATGCAACCGTCGTCGGGTCGTTGTCCTCACGAGATCGGTGACGAGGTGGAGAGAAGGAGAAAACGAAATTTACCACGGGAGATATGCGGAGACAAGGAGAAACAAAACATTTCTTTCGGTCGCCTCTACGTGCCGAGGGTTGAAAAAAAAAAAATATATATATACGTAATAATACGTTACGAAAAAAAACGGGATCAACTGACATCGAGCTTCCTCTTTGAACACTCGACGGTTTACCTCAAACGCTTCGAGAGAAAAAAGCTCGACAATGAGAAACTCGGAGATGGAGCGGATACTCGCGGCGTGAGGAGGGGAAAAACTGTCCCCCACGGCAGGGAGTTGGTTTAATTTCTTTAATCTGGTTTTCCGTTCGGACGACTGTGACTTTCTGCAGCGACGCGAATAAATACGAATGTAGCAAATTGCCGGGACTCGTGTCCCTTTTGTCTTTACATCTTTTGCGACGTTTCGAAGTTAAATGCCGCAGCGAGATAATGACGACGTCGTATTTACGTGAAACGCATATTATGTGCCTGTGTCGTCGGAGTTGCAATTATTTCTCGATATTTATTACGATCATGTTAGTTAAATATTAATTAAATGCAAATTCGTGCGAAATTATTGATGTTAGGGAGGAATCCCTTTTCCTTTTGATATCAAATTCAATGCGCAGTTCTCTCTCTCTCTCTCTCTCTCTCTCTTTCTCTTTCTTTATCGCTATAGTTACCCGATATCAGGGACATTCCAGAGATTTTCCTCTCTGATTGAGATCCGCATCGACTAGTTACGCGAAACCGAACAAAGGACCGGAGCGCACGTTTGCAAGGCTATTGATCGTCAGTTTCTTACCTGGCGATCCCGGTGTTCCTCCCACACCTGTCGTTTCCGGAATCCAGCCTCGTTCATGCTCCGGAAGCGCATTAGGTCCGCGGCAGAAGAAATTGACGTTCTTTCCGCAATTCCGTTAAATGTGTATCTTAAAGTTTCCATCTGGCGTGATTCTCCGATCTGCGATCGTGATCGAAATTATATTCGCGTGTCTTCCCGGTCGAGCTTGCAGAACATCTCATTTTGCGAATCCACTGTCCGAGGGCACTTATTGCGCGACACCATTTACTCCTCCACTTTCCTTTTTCACTTAACCGGTTGTCGCTTTATAACCGGGGGAAAAATACAAAGCGTTGCTCCGCCGCTGCTGCAGAAACGGCAGCGAATAGAATTGTTTATTCGACGGCAACCCCGTCCGTTGTTATTTCATTGAAACATATTTTTTATACGTTGGTTCACAATTTCCTTTTCCTTGCCGCAACAGAAATTGTCCACCGTACGTTTGTCCATTGTTTTTTCTGCAAATAAAATATTCGTTGCTGCACTGCGTGGAGATCATTAATTTTTTTCTTCAGAGAACGCGTTAGTTAATTCCTGGAATCACGTGTTAAGTAATGTCTGCGTATGTAGAATGTCTTTCGTAAAAAATCTCCCTCTGATTCTTCAAATTCCCATCATTCCATTTCAGTGTATTATAATTGTAAAAAATAATGTAACACAATATCGAAGCTTATAAGAATGATAAAGTTATTTAGATTCTTTAGAATTTACTCTTATTATACATCAGATCTATTGCTTATGTATGAATTTGAAGCTATTTCAAGAGCTATTAAAATTAACAATGTTTTTGTATTAATATACATTCATATTTCTGCAAATAAAAATATTCATTGCACATTGAATGGAGATCATTAATATTTTTTCTTCAGGGAACGCGTTAATTCCTGGAATTTACGTGTTGAGCAATGTCTGTATATGTAAAATGACTTCCGTGAAAAATCTCCCGCTGACTCTTCAAATTCCTGTCATTCCATTTCAGTGTATTACATAATTGTAAAAAATACTGTAATACAATATCGAAGCTTATAAGAAAGCTATCTAGATTCTGTAGAATTTATTATACATACTCTTATTATACATCAGATCTATTATATCAATTTGAAGCTATTATAAGAGCTATCAAGGTTATCAATGTTTCTGTATTAATATACGCCCACATTTTTTATATTCGGCCTTAAAACGACTTACGTCCATTTATTTGCATTACACAAGATTCCACTCTTATTACATCAGATTTTCAGTATCCGTAATTATCAATCATAGCTTGAAGGAATAAAATCAAAGGATTCATTATTGTTAATAATGTACACTTCTCATTCTTCACATCGCGTTATGTTAGAGCAAAAAAATTCACGGAATTAATAGCGTTACGCAAATTTCTTGTTATTTTACATATTAATCCGCTGATTCTCGGAAACTTTGAACGCGCACGCGTTTTATTATTTTTACAACTTTACTTTTCTGCCCTCTCCCCAGTGCTTCTACGTTTTTATATCTACGACGAAATCGAGGATTACACGCGTGGGGTAGGTCCTCTCTTCGTCGCGAGAGAGACAGGAAAAACAAAAAGCTGGTCTTTATTGGCCCGGCGAGACATGCTGGTTGTTTCAACGAGATATCAGTGAGAGGGGTGACGTTTAGCCGACGCGGATTTAACTTTGAGCTCCCGTTCCTCAAATCCAGGATCCACTTTTTTTTTTCTTCTCCCTCATCCCATCGTCCTTGTTGCGCGTAACTTTCCTTGACCGGCTTAATTGAATTGTTCCGCGACAGCGACATATTTAATTGCGAATAGTCGAGCCGTAATTAATTTCGTATTAGAAGCGAATCTGTTGGAATAATTATATTTGGTGGGACGCGCACGCTCATATATGCAATTGCAATTTTTTTTTAATTAACAGTTGTAAAAGTGATTCGACATAAAATTGTACAGAAAGTCACAATTATTTTATTATTGAAAAATGCGCTATTTATTAAATTAAAAAATACGAAGAATTTTACTTAACTGATTACTTAGAATTCGTTTGATTTCGTTCGTTTCTCGATGAAAGGGCTATTCATATCCTGATATAAACGACATGTAAGTATTTATAGGTCACAGTGGCGCGTCCCTTCTGCGACGAGTCTCATAAGAAATTCAGAGTTCGTTGCAAGTGCGACAATGTCGTTAGGAAAGATCCGTGAACACCCTAACATTTTCAGTGCTGCCATTTTGTAATTTATCCTGATATCCGCCACATCGTTTCATCAAGGTGACTACTGCTTTCCGATAACGAAATATCGACCTATACAACGAGGAAAGGCTCGAGTAGCTCTGCGACCTAGCAATAAGAAGAATTGCCTGTCCTGCGTTACGGCGGCATTTATTCATGTCTTATCTCATGTTGAAAAAAAGAAAGAAAGAATGAAAAAAAACTTATGTCGTTTCGTCGGCCGTAAAGATATCCCTACGTTCTCATTTCATCCGAGATACGTACTGGATTGCACAAAAAAAATACATTTTTATTTTTCTTATGACGCTTTATAAAGTTTGTATCCCCTCCCCCCGTCCTCTCCCAATCTCTGACGATCGTTTCCAGATTCTTGGGAAGCAAGAGTTCGAGGAAAGAATCGCTTTGAAAGAAAGCGACGCGCGGATAGAATTCCGTGATACCGATGTACCTACAATCCTTGCACGTGATTGACATTTTCGCGTTGCGAGGAAAAATTACGCAATACGATGATGACAAACTTTCTCGGCGCGTTTCCGCCTTCCCATCTCTTCGTCGAAAAATCATCTGACAATTTTTATTTTCGCATCGAACGGACGAAATTGCCACAAAGCAGCCCGAGCGGTTCCGTGCCAATCGTCGAGATGGCCGCGGGAAAGGACGCACTTCGAATTCGGGAGTAATGAAATTTATCACTGCAACGTGACCGGAAGCGACAATTTGCCGGAATGCGCTCCTTCCAAAACAATTTCGGTGAATTTCACGAAATTTTAAATTTATCATTTGATTATTTGCGTCATGCCGTTGTCGCGCGTGTAAAATTAAAGAGCGGAGTTATACACAATGTTTTAAATCGCTTTGATCATCTTATATACATATATATTCGGCATGAATTAAAACGATTAAAGTGCAGGATAATTAATTTAATTTGGACAACTTTTATCCGTTGAATCGAACGGATACTTAGGAATAAATTACCGATAAGATTAACGCGACGGCTCTCCGAGGACTCTCGAGAATTCATGACTCGAAAAAGTAGCGGGCGTGCGTTAGAAAAAAATTTAGTATACTCCTGGGATCATTCTGATGAACATGTTATTACTTCGACGAAGATAGAAATAAAATATATACAGTTTTAATAAATGTTTGGCATGCCGCGAGTGTGAAATGTCATGCTGATAGAATCTTTCATTCGCCAATGATGATTTCACCATGAGTGAATATAAAATCAAAGCATTCTATAAATTAAGTCTTCTCTCTCTTAATATATATATTATAGCATTATAATAACACGTATAATATTACAATAATAAAAATAGTCTAATTGCTTTTTCCATTGATTAAAGACAATGAAAATTACGTCTTTATTTAATAAAAAGATTTAACGATGTTTGTTTCACAATCAATCCACTGCTACGCATCTAAATTAACTTATTGAAGCAAGCTATTATGTTTCACGGACTCGGATCTTCATTTAGTCGCCAAATAAGCGGACGAGATGAGAAGCGAAATTAATATTCGCACGTGTCCAAGTTGGTCGCGCACAAGGGAAATAATATCAGCGAAATTGTAATGATAACCGTGCAATAATTATGCGGCTTTCGGAACGCGGTAATGTCTTTAACCTCCTTACATGAACGAGTGCGCTGGAGTAGCCTCAAGATTCTGTAGTCGTTCCTGGAGAAAAGAGATGCGAAAAAGATGAGACTGAGGGAAATACAGAAATCTGCACCTATTACAGCACGATGCGTCAAATTGCATTGCGACGTGCCCTGATGACAAATGATGATCATGCTTTGATTCGCAACGGACATTTCAATTTTTTTTCCCGAAGGATAAACCAATCTAAATTATAAATGGATTAGTCTTTAAAATTTTAATAACCTCTCAAATTATTATCGTTCTTAATTCCGTACATGTCGAGCTTTGATTTTAAATTATAGACATTAAATATTTGACTTTAAATTTCACGTGTATTCTACATCTCAATTATAATATTAAATTACTGTTATTTTATTCTCCGCACGGGTTTGACAAATATTGTATAATTAAACATACAAATGAAACATTGAAACTTAATCGCACAACCTACGTGTGGGCGAGGTCGCGCGATTAAGTTTCAATTTTTCATCTCTGCATGCACCAAATTCAAATTTCACAAAATGACAAATTCTGTAGTCTATACGCGATAATCAGTCCGTATATAAAAGGACGCGGAGCGGAAAGGGATGTAAATCTCACACACGCACACACAAACGCAAAATTCGCGTTAGTGGGTCAACTTAATAATGGCGAAATTAGGATGACAATTTGGAAATTGCGATACGAATGGTATCGTTCGAGCAACGATTAACAACTAGCGGCGATATATCGACTGGAAGAAGTTGCAACTACTAATCACGGCGGATTTATATCGTCGGATTGCTCGCGTCGCACATCTCGCCAATTTAACACTTAACTGATTAAATGATCGGTGCTTAACGGTGCATTCGCTGAACATCACGACATCGGATATTCGAAATTCTTCTTTCTACTCAACATGGAAATCCAAAACAATAATGGCAGCGGCAAGTGTCAGGCGATAAAATGTACACCCCCGAGAGGAATGAATCGACAGGAAGAAGCTTGATATCGGGATACCTCGTGAAAATTCGCCTCCGGAATGTCCTGTGAAAAATATTTTGCGCATTTGCATCCGTAGTATGCGCTCTATCGAAATTCGATGGTTCGAGGACGTTTGAGTGCCAGGGAAAACAGATAAACTAGCCAGACAGACGCGGAAGCCGGGGGTCAATGTCCTCGAAAAGGCGCGTATCGCAGGGTCGTGTCGGAGATCCGCAGCTCGCAAACCCGGCAGAGGGAATTCGGCGTGATAAAAACCTGAGCAGAAGAGCAGTAATAAACGGCCACGTGCCGTGGTTTCGTGCGAAAGTTTTTTCGTGAAAACGAAATGTCTCGTCGTCGGTATGTTTCAGAGAAATTCGGAAATTGAATTCAAGGAAATCGTAAATGTATTTTCTACGCGAATAATCCTGTGTACATGGCCGCGGGCAAATCGCGGCGCAGGCACGCTCCTCGCTTCGTTTGTGCGAAATGTGTCGTGTATAAAAATTCACCGAATTTCCAAGAAAAAAATAAATCATTCTCTTTGCGAAACATTAAATGCAGTCACTGCTTCCGCTCTGCGTATTTTTTCACTCTAACGCAACGCCAAGGTCGAAACTCCAGCGGAGAATACGCGAATAAAGGGACGTGGCCGAATTCGCGAATGTGTAGCGAATATCTCCGCTCCCTTCGAGCCGCAGTACGCACTCGAATCTCTTCACCTTGCGGCGCACGTCGCTCGCATCTCGCAACGGGGGGAGGAGGGGGCTTCGGGCTTCTACCGAGGGTGAAGGAAAAGAGCTCATCGACGTTGTCCCGGAGTTAATAATCGCGATGCACGTTGCTGCGGCATCGCCGTAGGAGGCAGCCTCAGGCTCGGGGTTGTCGACCCGGCTAAACAATCACGGAGCGGCTCCTCGCGTCACCTTTCCTCGCGGCTCCCGTCG